CTCCAGGCCTGTTATGGGAAGGACAGCTCGCCCCAAGCCTGAGGGCCCTGGTCTGGCTGCATGCGGATGTGGGGAGAAGAGGTACAAGGCAGCGGCCTTGGCATCTCATGGAGCTGAGAACGCTTCTCTCACATCCTACTGCTTGCATTCAGGTAGCACCTCATGTTTTCAAAGGTACTTTTACTTCCATGGTTTAATTTGATTTCTAAAATAAGTGTAGGAGGTAGATAAGGTCAATACTATTACACCCCATGTTACAGAGGGAAAAACTAAGGCACGAAAAGATTATAACTCTTCTAAGAACACACCAATAGTTTGCTGCCAGAAGAAGAACCTAGATTTCTTAAGTCCTGGATGATTGTTTCTTGTTTTGCTTTGCTTCTATCATCTCATGAACTTCCTGGAGAATAAGGCAAGGTTAGCTCTTTTGTAGAAACCACGCTCTGCCAATCCAGCACTTGGTACGTATATGGCTTTTCTGGCAGGTACATGAGTCCACACTAACCAAACACTGATGGTGACAGGCTCAGTGGAATGAGACTTCTGTCCTAGTTGGGTTCTGGACTGGGTGAGGTCATCAGATTTTTCCACATAGGTTTGAGCCCCAGGTGTGGAGGGAGGCAAGCGTAGCTGTACAACACTGCAAAGAAGTCAGTGTACTTGGATCTCATCTGAGCCATGAGATGCTAGGCCTGGCTGCACCAATGCAGCTTTTCAAACCTCCTAAGTTTTCCTTTCTATTACTGTTATCAAGATCCTCTCATCTCAACTCCTCAGCTCAAACATTTGTAGAAGAGTTGCCAAAGAAGCAAAAACCCTTGGAAATCCCAGTGTACAAGACACTCCTGTCTGCCTCAGCAGCTGGTTTATTTAGACTATAGGGCAGTTGCTTCACTGTTTGTTAGTTGTTTTCATTTGCCTATCCCAAGCACACTTCAGTCTCCGATGTACCTTCAGGACCCAAGCTAGGTAGCCACTATCCTAACATCCTGTCTTTCTGTCCCTGTCATAGATTTGGCTACAATGACATTATCACCATCCCAGCTGGTGCCACGAACATTGATGTAAAACAACGGAGCCACCCAGGGATTCAGAATGATGGCAACTACCTGGCTCTGAAGACTGCTGATGGGCGGTATCTGCTCAATGGCAACCTGGCCATCTCTGCCACCGAGCAGGATATCCTAGTGAATGGGACCATCCTAAAGTACAGTGGCTCTATGGCCTCCCTAGAGCGGCTACAGAGCTTCCGGCCCCTATCAGAGCCTCTGACTGTGCAGCTCTTGACTGTCCCTAGTGAGCTGCCCTCCCCCAGAGTCAAATATACTTTCTTTGTTCCAAACGACATGGACTTTGGCATACAGAGCAGCAAAGAGAGAACAACCCCCAACATCATCCAGCCACTGCTCCTCATGCAGTGAGTGCTGGGGACTGGTCTGAGTGCTTCAGCACCAACAGAGCTGTCTGGCAGCTGCAAACAGTAGAAAGCAGAGACCACTCGGGCCAGGCCTCTGTTACCTGCAACAGGGCTCTGCGACCAGAGCATCCCAAGCCCTGGGGAAGCCAGCAGTGTCCCCGATGATCCCATGGCAAGGGAGGGTCTTGTGCTCATGAACTTGAGGTAATGGGGTATAGACAGGGTCCCTTTTTTCATGACCCATATATCAAGGTAGCATACCTGCCCAGGCCTCCTACCACAGGCCCTTGGGTGCTGCCTAATTCATAAGGGGAGGAAAAAAGGGGATGGGACAGCAGATTGAAAATCAACTGCCTACTGGACTAGAACTTGCTCGGGTTCAAGTAGAAGGCATATGTTAAAAAGTAAAATGCACTTATTGACCCAAGTGGGAGACTCAGAGCCAGCCTGTTTGAAAGGACTCACAAGGCTAAATGAAAAAAAAAAATTTTTTCTATTTGGTTTCCCTGATAAATAATCTACCTCAGAGGGGAGAAAAATAGTTCAAGAAAGATATGGGGAAGGGAGTCAATGGTGAGTGTCAAGCAAGCCCCTCAGCTGTGCCCCAGGGGTCTTTGGGAATGGCCACAACTGTCTTCAGTGTTAAAATCCATCACTTAAAAGGCTGCAACATCCATCACAAGGTTGTGGAGAGCCACATGTTCTCAGGCCGCCACCTGCTGGGGTGGACCCATTTCAAGTATTTATGTAAATGTGTCTCTGAACTAAAGTGTGATCTTGTGCCAATGAAGTGGTCTGGTCTGGTTCATTGTTTCTTTGGAAAGGACAGGGGACCTAGAGCCCAAAGACGAAGGCTAAACCTGGGTTGGCTCACCTTGCCCACACAAAGGGCAGCTGATATCCTGCATGGGTCTGTCTCTTCAGACATTCAGTAAGACAGTGACTACTTTGGGTTCCAATAGACCTACTGGGCCCAGCTCACTTGGGCAGCTGTTCACAGCATGATCTAGTCCAGAGGTTCTCAAATGACAGTGGACATCAGAGCCACCCGGAGGACTGAGACAGATCGCTGTGCCCCACCTCCAGGAGTTTTGATCCAGTGAGTCAGAGGATAGCCTGAAAGTCTGCTTCTAACAAGCTCCCAGCTGATGTGAGGCTACTAGTTTGGGGACCACACTTTTTCCCTATGCTAGAGGAAATTTCAAATCAGAGATCCTGATGGTTGTGTGGTGTCTCTTGTTACTCTTAAGAAGAAGAATTCCGCTCTGCAAGCTGCCCCATCTTATTATAGGCTGGCTTGTCTTGTTTTATTTAAGCCAGACACAGATCCTTTTAGGATGCTGGGAATTCTAACACTATATCTAGGTAACATCATCCTAGTGACTTCCTAGTGACTTCCTAGGTAACATCATCCTAGTGACTTCCTAGTGACTTCCTAGGTAACATCATCCTAGTGACTTTGGTGTGGGTCTGCTGTCCACCTGACCCACACCAAATTTCATCCACATCTCACAATTCTTTGGGCCCAAGCACCTTGAAACTGTCCCCATAAGCCCTTTTACACAGAATAGCACTGCCACCTGGCACCAGAAATCCACCTAGGATCCTCAAAACCCCCGCCCTTCCCCCCTAGCTTCTTATCTCTTGTGGCTCAGATAAACTCCCTGACACAGTCTTCCTTATAAGGAGGAGAAATAGATGACATCAAGAAATGACATTCTAGGAAAAGAAAGAAAAAAACTTAAATTTACATCTTCCTTTTTTCACCACTACTGACCTCTTTGTGTTTACTTTCTGGCTCCTCTCAAGACATGTGGACACGGACAGAGAAGATGTAAGGCGGAGCCCCAGCGCGAATGAGGGCTCAGACCCCTGCAACACAAAGCAAAACCGATAGGATTTCTGCCCCTCCTGTGCCCCTTAGCTGGTCTCCACCTGGCGGTGGTTGACGTAGAGTTGATCTCTTTTCCCTGGCTGCCCAGTCCTTTTAGTGAGTAGGAGGCGAGGCTTACCTAGCATAAACAAGCATGCATACTCACACAGGCTTGTTGTTGATGACGAGTAAAAGCAGATATTTCCTTGCTGTGCATTGGTTTTGTGAAGACTGATGAGTGTTCCTATGAGTCTTCATCTCACTCCAGTTTTCATCTCCCCCCCAATAATTAAGGGCAAATGTGTCCCCCATTAGCTGCCCATGTCAGGCCAGCTGTGCCATCCCTGTTGCCTGCATCGTTACCAGGCGCAGCTTTTGCCCTGGAGTTCAGCTGGCAGCAGACTTGCTGATGTGCAAAGCAGAATGGAATCCAGCTTGGCTCTCCCATGCTGTGTGGGTTCAGCAAGGCTCACAGAATACATACTTGTTTGTGTCTGGAAATTCAACAGCTGCAGCTCAGGGACTCAGAAAACAGGGCTGCACCAAGAGACCATACCACTGTTTGCTCCAGCCAACCACAACTACCCTTTTAGACCCAGAGGAGGAAAGACTATATTTCCTCTGCTGAGAGTTTATATTTTCCAGCTATTGCTGATAGAAGCTGTTATGGGTCCTTTCTAATGGAGGTCCATAAAGGCTAGACTCAGCAGATAACCTGATCATTCTTCTGGATCCTCCAAGCTGCTGCTAGAAATATGTTAAAGGTGGTACATTAGCATCAAAATTCATTTCCAAATTTTCATCCTTAAGACAAGTGAATCTTTGAGGCTTGTTCTCTGCCCCTTACATTCCTCTATAGCTGACCAGAGGATGTTACAAATTGGAGGAGGGAAATCACCAAGTGAGGAGACACACATCCCTGCCCAACAATCCTCACCCCTAGCTCTACCATTGGTTAGCCTGTCAGCAACCCTGGGGCCCTGAGCACACACTGTCCAGGGTGCTAGGACAGAGAGCAGAGGAAGTAAGAGACACACTCCATCCTAGAGAAATGTAAGCAAGGACTTGCTCTCCTTCAGTGGCTACAGCTGGAGGACAGCGTGTCTCTATGCCGAAAGCAGTCCTTTTGCACAGTATGTTTTCCTATCAGCGGTCCCCTGGCTGAGTTTGCAACTTTGGGAAAGCTTCATGGAACATGAAAGAGAAAGAAGCCACCCATGGAAGCTGACATTTTTGCTGGACTGATGCGGGTCATCATTAAAGTAACAAATACTGTGGTCATTTTCTTTATACAGGAAAATATTGTAGAGGACTCATTGGTACAGCACATGTCTAACATGAGCAAGTACCTGGGTTAAAACCCTAGCGCCACAAAAAGAAGGACGAGGGTGGTCAGGTGTGGTGGTGCATGCCTGTAATCACAGCACTGGGAAGGCTGAGGCAGGAGGATTGCCATGAGTTCTAGGTCAGCCTGGGCTACACAGTGAGTTCAAGTTCAACCTGAACTACACAGCAAGACCCTGTGTCAAAACAACAACAACAACAAAAAAAAAAGAGCAAGGATGAGGAGGAAGGAAGGAAGAAGGAAGGGTACTAAGCAATAATACTCTAAAAACAATACTCTAAACAACACGAGCTAACACACTGAGGGGAACCAAAGCTGAGTGCCCAGTGAGTAAGCTTATTGAGTTAGGACTTCACGCTCTCTCCGTATCATGCTGGCCCCTTCCAAGCCCATGTCTGCTTCTAAATCAACATTTCAGAAAGGCCTGGCCGGGTTTATCAAAATAGATGTGCCCCTTTACAACCAGGGCCACGTCTCTTTGGTTTGTTCCTCTTAGATGGATAGATTCTCTGAAACACACTTAGGAAGTACCCGGCCTAGCATAAAACAGAGTGCTGGCCGACCCACACCTCTCCCACAAATAAAGGGGCTCCTTACAGCTGCTGCTCACCTTCTGGGAAGACAGATGACTCTCGATGTCCAAGTGCATTCGGAATTGCAGTGTGCAAGTGGGGGGTTGGGGGGAACCACCTGTCTCTTTTGGAACATACTTTCCTTCAGGCCTTGGGCTCAGAGAAGGGGGACAGCAGAGTTCTGGCTTCCCTGGAGCTACCCAGTGTATCTCTGGCAGATGCACATTTTCCCCAGGACAGGAGAAACTGAAGAAGCCTTCCGCAGACCACACCGTTCCTCATTCCAAACATCTTGTAAGTCCCAGGGGCACTAAAAGAACTTGTCCTCAGCCAAACACAACTTCCTGTTTCTAAGAAAGAAAGGGAGGAAAAAATAGTTGAAAGGATTTTTGGACACTGGAGATTTTGAGTTTCTGTAAACGCAAGTGAATCAGACACATGTGGAATAAATTTCTCCGGAAGTAAGTGTGAGTTGTTCTTGTTGGACCAGAAAGTGGAGAAAGGAAACCTGGGAACAGAGGTGCCTCAGATGCTGAAAGGAGAGAGGAAAGCCATACGAATGTGGGATCAGAGAGAGGGTCCCAGTGATGACAAAGGTTGAGGCCCCCCCTTTACCATTTCCTGACTCACTGATTACTCAGAGGTTCCCCCCGCCCCGCCAGGTCATACATTCAAATATCCTGCCCCCAGATGGCAACTCCCCATCTTTCCAGAGTTTCTGTTAACTCCCACTAATCGTCCTTCATCATCAGCCCCCCAGGTCTTTCTACCACCCCCACAGCTGTCCCTGCCCTCTCTTCCTTTCCTGCTCCTCTGTTCATACTTCCCTGCGCTGCATAGGCTCCAGATTCCAGCCCCTCAACCTAAATCCTGCCAATATTTTTAAAGTCCTTGCTCCAAGGGCTTCCTTCCCACTGCTACCCCACCACCTCACCCGGCCAATCTTTATCCTAAAGTTGCCAGCTTCTCTTTCCTATGTGTACATTGTTCCAACTTGCCAGAGGCTCTTCACCTTGAAGAACGGCTGTGTAGTGACACCAAGAAGCCCAGATGTGCCACTATGAAGTTAGTGTCCAGTGAAAACGCTGTCCAGCTCCATCTCTAACTCTCCAGGGAAATGACTTTCCACTTTCTCCACTCTTCTCAAGTTCATGGTGCTGCACATTTCCCTGTGAGTAGATGATGCCACTTCTACTGCTCACTGGAACCAGTGTCTCTCTTACCACAGAAGGCAGAGAGGGGACAGTCTCTCTGTTAACACATGGAGCATTGACACAAATCTACCTGCACACTATAACTCTTATTTTGGGTTCAAGGTGCTATTCTAATCTCTTTCAAGACTCAAAAGACAACTCATCTACCTTATTCTGTCCCCCAGCACCTCTGAAGGGTTCACCACATCAGGGCTTAACACACAGGCTGCCGTGGCTCAACCTCTCCACCCACCATCCTCGCTGGCCACTCTGCTCTCAAGTGCTTGCTCTGTCCTGCCTTGATTCACGGCTAGAGGGAGCTTGGTCTTCAGATCCCAGAGGTGAGGAGGGAGGGGAAGAAGCCCCCAGAGAGATAGGAGCGAGGACAACCTATCTTGGTGACAACAGACTTTGCACAAGCGCCACTTGGCCTCCTGCTAACCTCTCCCTGGCATGTTGTGAAGTTGAAACGGTGTCTCCTTCTTCTCCATTTTGTTTTTTTTTTTT